AAGTAAAAAAGCAAAATAGATTCATTATAATAAGAATAATAAATGAATAATAATAAAACCAAATTTTACAAAAATAAAAGAATCTTCCAATACTTTATCTGTTCACCAGAAGAAAAACTATCACCATTTATAGAAAACATAGAAAAATAGGTGCTCCAAGCTCTTTAAAACACATCGCTCAAAATTTCCAACATACAACTAAAAGTATTGTATATGAAAGTAGTGGAAAACATGGCCATTAATTATTTTTTTTTTAAAGTCAGTAGAACAGACTCCAGTATGACACAAATGTTGGAAACAGCCTCAATAGGTTTAAAGCGGCTAATAAACATATATTTAGCATCCCAGGTAGAACAATTGGTAAAGAATCAACCTGCCAATGCAGGAGACACAAGAGATGCAGGTTTGATCCCTGGGTTGAGAGGATCCCCTGGAGGAAGACATGGCAACCCACTCCAGTATTCTTGTCTGGAAAATTCCAGGGACAGAGGAGCCTGGCTGGCTACAGTCCATGGGATTGTAAAAGTCAGACATGACTTAGCAACTGAACAGCAAAAACATTAACAAATATCACACACACACACACACACACACACACACACACGGTTGTAATTGGTGATCAGTGGGGAAACTTACAACAGAAATTTTAAGAAGGTGGAATGAAATTTCTAGAAGTGAAAGCATAAGAATTAAAATTGTAAAATTCTCTTAATTTGCTTAACAGGAGGTTTGAGAGGTCAAGAAAAAAGAGACAGTAAATTAGAAGAAAGCCTAAAGAGCACAGAGAGAAAATATTGAAAACATAATAAATGAGACACTGGTGGTCAGTGTACAGTAAGAAATGATGTAGTATAACTAGAGTCCCAGAAAGAGAATAGAGTTAATGAGATAGAAAAAGTAAAGAACTAATGGAGAATTTTCCAATTTTTTAAAAAAATATAAACTTAGGCAATTAAAACTATATTTTGGCATAAAAATGTCTAAAACCAAAGTCAATTAAGAAATCTTGAAAACAAACCAAGAAAAAGACACACTACATAGAAACAAACAAGAAATATGATTAATGGTTGGATTGTCATCAGAAACAATAGAACAAGAACACAATACACTGTTAAAAACTCCAACTCTAAAATTTAAAAAAGATCATCAACCCAAAATTCTATATGTAGTAAAAATATCCTTTAAAAATAAGATTAAGTAAAAGCATTTTTAGATAAATAAATGATGAATTTATTGGCAGCTGACCTACACTACAATAAATGTTAAAGAAATTTTTATTAGCATTTCACCATAAGAAGTTTGAATGTACAGAAAGCCTTGAGAAACAGAATGTGACAAATATGGAAATAAATTGAAGATATATTGTTCTTTCGATTTCTTTATATGACAACTGAAAATTTCAAGAAAAAAATAACTTTTTACATTGTTGTATATAATGTATATGCATTAAAGATTCATGGCAACAATACTACAAAGAACAGGGGTGGAGGATAGAATTACAGTGTTGGAGGTTTCTTATACTTTGCAAGAATGGTACAGTATTAATTCTAAGTAGACTGAGATAAGTTAGAATGCATATTGTATCCCCAGTTACAACACTTAAAACACACACACACAGCTATAATCAAAAACAAAAAGTTGAGTTATTAAAACAAAATGTTGAGTGAACCTTTTCAGCCAGAAGAAAGTATAAAATAATGAAGCAAGAAGCAAGTAATATATTGGCAGGTNTGTTGGAGGTTTCTTATACTTTGCAAGAATGGTACAGTATTAATTCTAAGTAGACTGAGATAAGTTAGAATGCATATTGTATCCCCAGTTACAACACTTAAAACACACACACACAGCTATAATCAAAAACAAAAAGTTGAGTTATTAAAACAAAATGTTGAGTGAACCTTTTCAGCCAGAAGAAAGTATAAAATAATGAAGCAAGAAGCAAGTAATATATTGGCAGGTGAAAAGAAAGCCAAGATATATTAAATCACAAAAATACCAACATTTACATTAAATATTAATAGACTAGATACCTCCGTTAGATGCAGAGACTGTTAGACTAGATAAAATGCAAATCCCAATATGGTTTGTATAGAACATGTACTTTAATAACATACAGTTGGAAAGTAAAAAGATAGACAAGGATATATTATATTTTTGATATTTTAAAACCAGTTTGGGATTCATACTATTAATCAAGGAAAAGTCCTAGATAGCTAGTATTACCAGAGAGGAGAAAAAGAAAATGTATGACATTGAAAAAGTTAATCTTTCAGGGAAACATATCTATCCAAATGTGTACACTTTTGATAACATTAAAAATTCATGGGGCATATAGTGACAGAGGTGAAAGGAAAAATAAGCAGATGCACAATTCAGTTGTTGATAGAACCAATAAAATACCACACTACCAGTGTCCCTGCCTAAAGTGCTCATTCCTCATATTTTTCCAGACTGACTGAAGTGCTCTTTTCTTTCATCAGTTGAGGCTTAGCATTCTGTCTAATCCTACACAGCCTCCCTTGACAACCCATGTAAAGGAGTCATGACTTGACTAGTATTTTCCCATGAGTTACGTTCGCATTAGATGTATTCATACCAGGCATTTTCTTTGTTTATTTGGTCATTGCCAGTTTCTCGCCTGTCCAAATCATAAGTTCCATGACTGCAGTCTTTTCTGTTTAGCTGCTCTGCATTGTACCCTAGTGCTGATCTGTGTTTTAAAAAATTTAGGGTGAAATTTGTTGAATTATAGTATAGGAACATAAAGTAAAAATTATAAATGTTTAAAGAAAAGCTGTATAACATACTAAAAATAAGAATGTGTATGTATAAGAGAATGCAGAGTAGAAACAACATGGATATAGAAAATGAGGTGTTAAATTTAAATATGCTAATTATTGTTCAAAATAGAGATTATTATATTAAAATTAATAAACTAATAAACTAAGAAATAGAAATTTAAGTCTCTTATTTAAAATGTAGAGGCAACTAGTAACACATTAAAATTAGACTCTGTACATTTCAAATAACTAAAAGAGGAAGCAAAAAGGAAAGAGTATAAGCAGAATAGCAAATATGACAAAGTGTATCTACAAAGGAAATAAAGCTAACTAGCAATAATGAATGTAAACTAGAAAAACTGGTGAAGTAAATGGGGAAAATATTATTATAAAAAGTTAGTTTTGTTTTGTAAGAGAGATACACATAAAAGAAAATAAAATGACATATTTTTGTTGAAAATAATCAGCATTGGCAAAGACACATGGGCAGATTCAAACAAATATTTAGCAGGAGTCCTAACATTACCATTATTTGAGAATCTAATTGAAGGCCAAATGCATTGGATGAAACAAATGTGGTGTGCCTTATAATTATAATGCATGCAATCCACAGAAATATATAATAGTTATGAATCTTTTTATACACCCAGAAACTTGGCATCAAAAATATAGATCCAAAACTGAATGAAGTTAAAGGAGAACTAAAAGCATAATAATTCTTTCAGCCAGTTCTAGATATAAAAAATTAAAATAGGTAAGGCTATTGAGCCTTTGATTAATAATTCTTTGGATAAAATATCTGCTGTTTTAAAGGATACTTAAAATAATTATACATGGCTGTATATTAAGCCATGAAATTTCATAACATATTTCACAAACTGTAAGCAATATATTATAAATGTTTTCAATAATACCAAGAAAAAATAGTAACAAATTAAGTAAAACAATTTCATGGAACTTAAGAATATATTTTTTGAAAAATTCTTGAGTTCAAAATGAACTGAAATATTATAATATTTATTAATTCTTAAGACAATTTTTAGAGTAATTTGCAGTAGAATTGAGAGCACTGTGCAGCTACCCCCCATAAGTGTAACCTCTCCCATTATCAACTTCACTCACCAGATTGGTTTTTTTTTTTTTAAACCAAGAATGAATCTGTGTTAACACATCAGAGTTACCAAAGTCCATAGTTCAGTCTTGTTGCCCATGCAGTGGGTCTCAGCAAGTGTATAACAACATCTGTCCATCATCACGACGTCATACAGAACATGTTCACTGCCTTAAAACTTCTCTGTGCACATCCTATTCACCTCTCCCCTCCACATACAAATTTTAATGCAGTAATAAGTGTCAAAAGTCACAGAGTCACCCTAAAATCAGTCTAAAAGGGAAAACTTTTACCTCAAACATTTACACAACTGATAAAAAATTTGTAAAATAGTAAGTTAAACTTGTTTAAAATACAAAGAAAGTGTGAAAGAAAATGAAAGTAGAGAAAAAGAAAGGAAGAAGAAAGTAGGGTGGAAGGAAGCGTAAGAGTGAGGGACAAATGAAGGAATTTAGGAAGAAAGAATTAGTAAAGACAGAAACAAATATTGATTTATCTATAAACAAGAGAATTCCAGCAAAATTATTTAAAACACAAAATTCTTAGGAAAACAAAGCAGCCAAACAATATAAGTTAAAAATTTTTATTTTTGAATAATAAGAAGGATAAAACAGCTTATAGAATGAGAACTGAGAATGCAGAGATAGGAAATGAGCAATGACCAAATAAAGAAAGAAGTAATGGAAAGCTATTCTTCACAGTCATGTAAATATATATTTTCAAATATATTGAAAATCTATATAAAGTAAATGATTTCTTAGAAAACATCAATGACAAAAAGTTACTCCAAAAGGAACTCAAAACATAACCAGATCAATAGTTATAGAATATATTAAATAAGTTAAGAAACAGTGCCTGGCAAAAGTGTTTCCTCAGTTGAATTATAAAATCTCCAAGGAAGAGGCATTTTAAGAGTTATCCAAATAGAGCAATAGAAAAAGAAACCTTAGAGAAATCTTCCTAGGAAGACAACAAAAAATAAATTAGGAAACATGCAAAATAATCAATGGGAAACTGTAGACCTGTACTGTCCCATAAGGTAGCCACTAGCCCCGTGAGACTATTTAAATTTAATTTAAGATTCATTTTCTCAGTTGCGCTAGTCATAGGTTGCATTTCAATTGCTTAATAGTCACATCTGGCTAATGGCTTCTATGCAGGACAAGGCAGAAACAATAGAATGTTTCAGACTTCACTAGTAGTTCTGGAAGAAACGCCCCAGTGAGTTTCTCCTTCCTGAACCAGTCACAGACGAACAAATAAACTGGACAGCCTCATTGGTTAAACTTGGTCCATCTACCCACCTCTGAGGCCAGGGAACAGGGATTCAGTGAGACGCTGTGATTTATGGGTCCTGTAGAGTCTCAGGAGAAGATAAACAATCCATGTCACTGCACATTTTCAAATACATTAGATTTCTTTGGCACAAAGTCTTTCTGAAACTGATAGATATTGCCCCAGTCTGAGAGTGGAAGCTGAGACTCATGGAGACTAGGATCTTGCTCAAATTCACTCTGCTGATAAATGCCAAAGCTAGGTCTTAAATCCAGCCCTTCTGAACGCAGGCCCATTGCAGTCTTCATAATATATCACCCAGTTCCACCTCAAAGCAGGTATTTTGGCATCCTCTGGGTGCTTAGACCTATTCACAGTGTCCACATAACTGGAAGATAATTTGTAATCCACAAAAGCCTGTGAACTCCAGGTGTCATCTAGCATCCATCATGCAGATTTTCAGGAATTAATATTGGCACATGTTATTTGCTGGGCTTGATAAACATTAAAACATTAAAGTGTACAAACAGAGACAGAAGTGGGAAGATGAATAATTTGGTTAAAGTAATAATAGAGTAGACTAGAGAACATAATTTTGATACAGTTTTATATAGTGACATATCAATTGTTTGGAAAAATAAAATACTATACCATACATATTATGTGAGAGTTTCTAGCACAGTCACTTACATATAGTAGATACTCAAAAAATGTGTCTGGGTGTATGAGAACTGAAGCGGTATTCCCCTCAGGCTGTAAGTAAATTTTCCTTTCTTGGAAAGCAGATATTAAAGGTGGGGTCTAAGAAGAAATCAAGGAACAGATATGCTATATATGTTCTATTTATGAATCTCATGGCCTCCTTTTTGGTTTTATTATGCTGGGATCAGTGCCTGCAGAGTATTTGGACTGATCTCAAAATGACCACCAACTCAACCATCAAACAGAATATCCCCATTACAGGTCACTGTTGTTCATCTCAGTGAGCAGTGTCAAAGCCCAAAGCACATGAAATGGCAGGTCTGATCCTGCTGGCAGAAGGCAATGACCAAGCTTGTTGACAGCATCTTTCCCATTCTTGGGGGTGATGTTGACATAGCTGTGGAGTGTGCTAGCAGGAAGCCCATTTCTATAGAAGGTTCCAGGAGAGGGGTTTGCTTAGGCATCAGTAGGGGGCCCAGGAACATCTGAACTATGAAACTGACTGGAAAAAAAGGAGAGAGTACTTTAAAATATTATTGCTCCAAGAGTGATGAAGTTCATCACTCTAAACATTTTTAAATGACTCTCAGAGCATGTTTCAGAAAAGTATCAAGCTGACAGTGTTTCGCCAGTTAGGTTAGAGAATGGAATATCCTAGACAAGGAAACCAGTGAGAAGACTAAGAGCAATTCAAAACGCACGCTATATTGGGAGTGGGGAGACAAAAGCATCAGGGTGAGAGATGCTAGCAGTTAGATGAATCGATTTATTATCCAACCAAGCAAAGTCGCTCTGATAGCAGAACTCTTCTTTGCTGGTAAGCCAAAGAGATGTGGGGAAAATAAAATAAAACAAAAACAAGAAACCTGATGTCTGTGTTTTAAGAAGTCATAGTCTAGAGTGGAAAAAATAGGATATGTCAACAGATAATAAAATATAGTATAAGTTCCATTTGGTATAAATGGTGATGGGTAAGAAGAAACAAAACATAATAGTGAGATTTCTAGGCCACATAATGAAAGCTGACCAGGCAAAGCGGCAGGTTTTCTTTAACAGGAGATAAGGGATTGGCTCTTATGGGCAAGTTCAAGTTGCCAAAACAGTCATGGGTGGTAAGACTGATAAGAGGAGACCTAAGTTTATTTTTAGCTAATTTTAACACAGAATATTGCATTTGAAGCAACAGGAGAAAGCACACACACATTTCTACTGGTGTCTGGTGGTGAGGAGGAGATATTTATGGCATAATAAACATATGCAGTTCTAATGCTATGAATTGCAACCTGCAAGAAATCACTTACTACCTTTAAAAATTCATGATAAATATAACTAACACCACTGTAAATTGTGTGTGAAAGTTAAGAGAGTAAATCTTGAGAGCTCTCATCACAAGGAAAAAGTAATTTTTTCCCTACGTCTTTGATTTTGTGTATATCTATCTACATGAGGTGATGGATATTTGTTCAACCTATTGCGGTAATCAGAAAATGAAATGATTGATTAATTTAAAACTCAAGCACTCCAGGAAGTCAACTGTGACATTTTTGGTGAATAAGGAAAGTGAAATATTACTTAGAAAAAAATAGGCATAGTGGTGAATCCAGGCTGCAGCCCTTGCAGTTTATGATTGTGGATGATCCATTTCTCCAATGGTGTCTTTTTCTACAAGTGTGAAAAAAATAAGTGGAAAGCAGTGCACTTACCATAATCCTATGTGGCATCAAGAGCTTTAAAAAACAGCTTATTATATTTTATTATTTCTAATTAAATAATACAACTATTATTTTATTATTAAAATTATGTATATATAATTTAGACAGCAGTTTAATTACTTAACATTTAAATAAAATGGAAACTAGGTACCTCCTGTACAAGGTTATTATTATTATATATATTATAATAATA